AGGTTGACAAGCCTTCTTAGGAGCGGAAGTCCAATTCGATGGCGTTCTCAATGGCCGCGCACTTCCAGAACAGTTTTACCGACAAGCAGGTCGATGCTCACTTTAAGAGTGGTAGTGTACGGATTGAGGACTGGGAGGTGGTGAAGTGGGATACGGAGGAGGAGAAGTTCGGTTGGGGCGACGCTGTCATCAAGAACGCAGGTATTGTCATTGGCGCAGGCAGAATCTTACCCCACACGCCGTCAGTGACTACCTTGGGGGGGCGATCCGGGGAATTTGCGTGCACATCGAGGGCCCGATGGTACGCTGCACGTTAGCACGTGGAACGTGGCGCGGATACGGGAAGAGGATTTTGACACAACTTTCCTTGTTGTTTGCAAGAGGGCTTCACACATACTGATGGTGTCAAGCAGGAGTCTCACCATCTTACGTTTGCCGCTGCCGGCCCAAAATATGGGAATTTGAGGTGGCGGGCAGTCATCGTCAACGAGCGGTGGCGCGACAAAGTGGACAGTGTCAATTTCGCTGGGGATGGACAGCGGTGGGTCGCAGTGCACTCCGGGGAACGCTGCTAGATCATCTCGGTGCACTTGCCGTTTTCCTCTCGTTCGTTACTGGTCCAAGTTTCCTTGGAAACGCTGGCGGAAATCACGGACCTCATCCAGCAACACACGGGCACCTGCATGCATCAAGTTGTGGATTTTTGCCACGTGGGCGGTCGGGCCCTTGGGTCTGAGAGGGCACCGCGCCCCCAGGACGTCGAGCGAGCAAGGCTGCTCCATCAATCTCTCTCCGAGCACGGCCTCTACCTCGCCAGCGCGTTCTCCAGCGACTCTGGCATCCACCTAGCAACCCGGAACAGGGGCATATTCAAATCGATTTTATCGTTGTGTCGACGGCGGTTTGTTGCGACGACGTGCGCGTTGATCAATGCGTGGTTTTCTCCACGGACCGCAAGATGGTGCTTGCGGAGCTCAGGGTGGACTGCGAAGCCCCCAAGGGCGCGTCTGAGCCCGGCAACCGTGGATGGGTTCCAAGCGAAGCGTGGAGTGAAGCACGTGGTACTTTCAATTGGCAGTGGGAGGGTTGGGTTCGCTGTGCCAATGAATCCAAGGACTTCGCGCATGGCCATGGCTGGCGGCGGCGCCGCCACGAGGGCGAGCGCGTGCAATAAAAAATTGACAGACATTCCGTAGCATCGGAAGTGGAAAAAACGGTCAGTGAACATGCAAATCGATCGACACCGCCGGCGCCAGCGGCGCGAACGCGCCGAGCAATCCATCGAGGAGGCGGCCCGCTCAGCCCGCATGCCGCAGGGTTCCCGGAGGAACACGACAGTGAACTGGAGCAAGTTGTTCGGCATTTCGGACCCGGCTTCGGCCTTGCACGACCACTACAGCACCGCCCACTACATGAGCGACGCGGACAAGACAGCGGAGAATGTTGAAAAGCAGAGGTGGGTGAATACCTGGATTGATCTGCGGATTGACGTGGTGTCCTGGCGGGTCTCCGAAGCACGGCTGCGCAAAGCTATTCGGGAACTGAAACCAGGCAAATCCAGTCCAGACGGATGCGCGGCAGAGATGTGCAAGCAATTGCCTTCCACAGGCAGTCGCATCCCTGACAATATTTTTCGCGAGCGTCTTCGCATCATTCTGCTTTCCTGTGGCGCGAATGCACATGATGGCCGTGCTACTTCCCAGGGTCTGCAATTCGGCATCACTGAATCGCTTTCGCGATATTTCCTTCTTGTCCACTGCGCGGAAGCTGGCTGGGTATCTATGGATGCAAAGCTACCGCCGCTGAAGTTTGAATCTTTCCAGGCGGGATTTGCGCCTGGGAGCCATTCCGCACAGGGGGTGCATGCTCTCCACCGCGCAGCCGAGTTGAGCCGGAAATGGGGGAGGGGCGCGTACGTTGTGCAGTTGGACTTGAAGAAGGCTCTCGTTTAAGTATTGTTACAGGGCGCCTCGCTACAGTGCCTGGCGGTCTTGTGCACGATGTTGCTAAACGCAAAGATCTCCTACACCCTGGGCCACGTGACCGGGCGGGCCGTGCACCTGGACAGGGGCCTTCCGCAAGGCGCTCCAGAGTCACCTCTGCTGTTCGTACTTGTGACAGAGATTGTCCTCAGACCGTTATTGAGGAAGTGGAGAGAGAATTGGAAAGGGTGGGTCGTCGATGATTTCTGGCTCGCGGCGGTGGCTTTTGCGGATGACATTCTGCACGTGGGATCGTCGTTCCGAGATGTTCAATCCATGCTGGAGGATATCATTGAAGCTTTTGCGCTGGTCGGCCTTGAGTTTGGCGCAGGGAAAACGCATTGGTGTTCGTGGTCGCGGGCGTCGCTGCTGACTTTCCGCGTGCTGGGAGAACAAGTGGCGTGGTCGCCACAGTTTGTCTTTGTTGGCAATGTCGTCGACTTATCTGGCGGCGCCGGGGCCGCAATGGCATGCCGCGTTGTTCTACCAGTGGAAGAAGATATTGCAATGCCCATCTGTATCGTTACGACGGAGAGCCGCGCTCGCCGTTCAACTTCTGACGTCCTCCCTGCGATGGTTGGCAGAGACGTGGTATCTTACGAGAGCCCAGACGCGGACCCTTGATTCATGGGCGAATCGCAAACTAGCTGCTGTGGCAAACGTCCGCCGGGCACTTGACGAGGATATCGGTTCCTACTGGAGGCGAATGTATCGTCGTGGTCAACGACTCCTGGAACAGCCCGGCGGCGCAGCAAGCCAGATGAGACGGTTACGTGCGCACAGATTCGCAAGTCACCTCGCACGCATGAGTGGCATCTGTTGCGTCGCTCTCCGGACGCGGTGTCTCGCGCGGTGGAGGTGCCGGCAGGCGCGGCATCACGACAAGCATTGCGGGGTCCACCCGGCCAGGCTCAAGACTTGGCGGTGGGAGTCGCAATTAACCAGTGTTTACGGAGAGGCCGGATGCGAGGACCCATTCAGCAATGCTGGATTGATGGCGCTCACTCAGGCCAGAGCCGCCTGGCGAAGCTCTGAAGCGGCCTTTGCCGATGCTTGAATGTTCAGGTCCTTGTCTCCCGTTCCCCTTTGCTCTGCTTCTGCCCTCGCTCCCCTGCCTCCTCTCTCGCTCGCTCTCCTGTCTCCTCCGTGCTGCTCTCTTGCTAGTTTTCCTTGTTCCTTTCTCTGGCTCTCTTCGCCGTCCGCTTCCTCTCCCTGCCGCCGCTGCTGCTGTCGCGCATTGCGTTGAGCCTTGGTCACATGTTTTCGAAAGTTGTACAGAGCAGTGTATAGTCGGTCGAGTGGCGTCCGGAGCTGTTCCCCGCAATGGGGTCTTCATAGCAGCGGAACAGGACATAGAGAGAGATAGAGAGAGAGAAAGAGAGAACAGAAGAGAGAGAGAGAGAGAGAGAAAAAAAGAGAGAGAGAGAGAGAGAGAGAGAGAGAGAGAAAAAAAGAAACAGAGCGTGCTCAAATGCCGGTCTTAAGACGCTTGCGTCTTTCACATACATATCGGGGTGACGGCAGTGACGGGGGCCTGTCCGCACGGGACCGACGTGGGGCCTTGTGAGAGGATTCGGGAAGGGGGAGGGGGAGATGGGGAGACGGCGCGATACGAGCTCCTCTTTTGGTTTGGTTCTAGAGCGTGTTATACCGCTGCTGGCGGAAAACCGGGGGGGTCACTAGGGGTTCCCATCCCGTCCGCCCCCCCCCCTCTCGAAAACCCGGTGGTCACTGCCGGTTCGAACCCCCCCCAATCCATCATGAAAAAGGGTGGGGGGCCACTGCCGGTTCGAACCCCCCCTTACACCCCCCCTCGAATAAGGAGGGGGGGTCATATTGCCGGTTCGAACTCCCCCCTCCCTTCGCCGCCAGCAAACGATTCCCGCTCCTCGGGACAGTTGGATAGTGGCGGGGACAATGGGACAGTGGTGGGGAAGGTGGTGGTGGGGACAGTGGTGTGGGGACAGTGGACCAGTGGTGCGGACAGTGGTGGGGACGGTGGGGGTGGGGGCAGTGGTGCGGGGACAGCGGGACGATGGTGGGGACGGTGGGAACGTGGTTGGAACCGCACTGGTGGGGACAGCGGTGAAGGCGGTGGTGAGGACGGTGGTGGGACAGTAGTACAGTGGGGAGAGAGAGAGAGAGAGAGAGAGAGAGAGAGAGGGAGAGAGAGAGAGAGGGGGGCGAAGCTGGGATTCACTGGCGTGATGGGGGGCCTACTTGCATGCGCAAGCAAAGAAAGATGCGCAGTGGGACAGTCCGGCCCCGCCCCGGTCCGCGCGGGCCGATGGTTTGGCCGGCCCCCGCCGCCGCTCCGCGCGCGGGCGCCGCGCGCCCCCTCTCAGAGTTTCTCCGGGTTTGGGTTTCGAGGGGTCGAGGTTCGGGTTTGAGGTTCTAAGTGCGTCGGGGGGGGTGGGTGGGGGTTCGGGTTCGAGGTTGGAGGCTTCTGCGTTTTCGCCGTTTCTCGGCGGATTTCCAGCTTCGGGGTGCCTTCCAGCGGCTGCGCCTCGCCGAGGGCGTTGCGTGGGTGCACGGATCGTCCCGAACGGCCGCCGCAGAGCCGAGTTGTGACCTGAGAACCAAGGGCTTGGGCTGGCTTGGCCCGTTTGACTCCTTGCCTCCTCGCGAGCCGACGTCATTAGCCCGTACGTATGCCTCGAGGCACCCCTGTCGCGCCCACGCGCCCGTGGGGGCAGTGCCAAGGGCTTTGGGAGCTGCGTGGCGCGCTCCAGCGAAGAGGGCCTCGCCGTCGGCGAGGCTCGCCTTCGGCGGGAGCTGGCGGGAGGCCAGCGGAAGCCGGCGGAAGGAAAGCGGCGGCGGCCCCGCCGGTGGAAGCAGGCGGGAAGCTCGGCGGAGGTAGGCGTGAGCCGGCAACATTCTTGGCTCCAGGGTTTCGGAGTCGGCCATGTGGGGAGGAGGAGGAGGAGGAGGAGGAGGAGGAGGAGGAGGAGGAGGAGGAGGAGGAGGAGGAGGAGGAGGAGGAGCAGCGGAGGGTGAGGAGGAAACAGGGCTCGCCAGCCAGACGGAGAACACGGCGGTGAGCGAGGTCTTGTCCGCTGCTCAGCCTTGGGACCGCCGGCTCCGAGCAGGGGAGACGTTACCAGGTGCCAGGCCCTTGCAGAGTTCTCCCCTGCCCCCTGGAACTACCTGGTCCAGGCCCTTTCTTCCAGGCACCTGTGTCCCCGCCACGCGCCACCTCAATACCTCATCACATTGAGGCGCCATTCGACTGCCATCCTGTGCGATGGTCTTTCGCTGTCAAGAGGGAGCTTCAAGCACCGGTCCCAATGATAGCAATGCAATTTTTCGAAACCAGTCTCACAGTCTGACTCGGCGAAATCTGTTGGCTGGCTCCGGACTGTCCTTCTTCTCCCCTTCCCTACATCCTCTCTTGCCGCCGTCGTGCGCGATTTTGATAACTTTCTGGTTTGGTGAAAGGGGATGTTCGGACGGGGCTAGGACGAGGATCAATCCGTTTCAGAGCGTTCCAGAACGCTCTCGGAGCGTTCCGGAACGCTCGGGGAAGGCCGCGGCGCCCGGTACATCCTCTGGAGACGCCGTATCTCAGAGATTCTCGATTTATCTTCACCCGAATCTGTCCTCGTCCTGGCTTCGTCTTAGATGTCCATGCCGCGTCGATGCCCGCTCTCCATCGCCACACTCACTGCTGGGTCTCGCCTGCTGCAGATCTCTCGGGGCGCTGCTCTGGCTCTGCGTGATGGTATGGGCACTGTGGCGGTCGCCTGTAGTAGATAAAGTTGTATGCTTATCGCCAAGGCTTCGCGTGCGGGCTCGGCTATATCAGATTGCTCTTCGCGTGAATCGTCTATTTCGTGGGCAGCATCGTTCGCAGAGGAGTGCGGTGTGGGGTCGGTGGATTCACACAGGTCTATCTTTAACATGTATATATACATGTATATGTATATTTACAACGAGAGATGACAAGAAGAGAGAGAGAGAGGGGGAGAGAGAGGGATACACACACACATATATATATAGAGAGAGAGAGATAGAGAGAGAGAGAGTGAGGGAGAGAGCGAGAGAGAGAGAGGGAGAGAGAAGCAATAGAGGGATGTAGAACGAGAGAGAGAGAGACAGAGAGAGAGAGAGGAGAGAGAGAGAGCGAGAGAGAGGAAGAGAGGACGCCAGGCAGGGAAGCAACCCTAAGTCTTGTCTGTTCTCGCTCTTATCCGCCTCTCCCCTCTTCAACGCCCAGGGGCCTGCTGATTCCCGGGCACGCCCACGCCCCGGCCTGGGTGACGCCCCAGGCAGGCATTGCTAGGGCCCCTTCCCCCTGTCCGTTTTTTTGTCCAATGAGATTGCGCGGGCGGGCCGAAGATGGACATGGGAGCGGTAGGGATAATGCGGAATGCAGGTGCAGGAAAGCATTTTTTATATACTAATTATCTATATTGGATATGATGTTTATTTTTAGTCTTGTCATCATTAATATAAACACATATATATATATATATGTGTACCTATCTCTCTCTCTCTATATATATAGAGATATACACACCTGCCAGCAGATTGTACTACGGAAAGAACGAAACGTACGTGGGAACGGTAGGGGAGATCTGGCGACTAGAAGTAGAACATCACGTTGTCTTCAATGCTGTTTTTCGTTGTTATTTTGTTCCCGCCCGGGTGGCCGTTTCGACGATTCAGTTCGCGCGTTTTTCTGCCTCGTTCCGTCGTGCGTGTTCGCCGCGGGAGACTCAGGGCCAGGTTAGGGCCGACTCAGGATCTACCGCGGACCGATTCAGGATCAAACGCAGGGCCGATTCAAGATCCAGGGGTGGACTCGATCAGGATGCGGTATTTTCCTCGATCCTGAAGCGGGCCCATGCCCTCTATGAGGCGCTCTATCGGGAGCTCTAGTGGGCGCTCTATTGGGCGCATGATTGGTAGCTCTATTGGGCGCTCTGTTGGGAGTTTTATTGAGCGCTCTATTCGGCTGTCCATTCGGCACTCCATTTGGCGCTTTATTAGGCGTTCTATCAGGCGCTCGATTCGGCGCTCCAGTAGGCTCTCTGTTCGGCGCTTTATTCGGCGGTCTATTCGGCGCTCTATTCTGCGCCCTACTCTGCGCTCCTTTCCGCGTACTATCCAGCGCTCTGTTCGGCGCTCTATTCGTCGCTGTATTCGGCGCTCTGTTCGGCGCTCTATTCGGCGCTCTATTTGGCGCTCTATTCGGCGCTCTATTCTGCGCTCTATTCGGCGCTTTGTTTGGCGCTCTATTCGGCGCTCTGGTCGACGTTCTATTCGGCGCTCTTTTCGGCGCTCTACTCGTTGCTCTACTCGGCGCCCTATTCGGCGCTCTATTCGGCGCTCTGTTCGGCGCTCTATTCGGCGCTCAATTCGGCGGTCTACATCACCCTACTAGAGCCGCCGCAGGTTTGAAATCCATGGGAATCGATTCCCAGGAACTTCAAACCTGCGGCGGCTCTGTTCTGCGCTCTATTCCGCGCGCTGTTCGGCGCTCTGGTCGGTGCTCTGTTCGGTGGTCTATTCGGCGCTCTGTTTGGCGCCCTGTCCAGCGCCCGAGTAGAGCCGCTTCAGGTGTGAAATCGATTCCCAGGGATTTCAAACCTGCGGCGGCTTTCTTAGAAGCTGTAGTCGGATTCTTTTCGTGTTCTATTAGGCGCTCTATTTGGCCACAGGCAGCCCCACTGTGTCGAGGGCGGCCGCGCCCAGAGAAGATCGGGGCACCATGCCGATTGTGGATGACAGGCCGCAGGTCTTCCACATCGGAGACCCTAGCTCGTCTTCGCATAACACCACCGAGCAGGGCACCGGCGAGGGAAGGACGTGCTCGAGCGACGAGGCGCCGGGTATCTTCCCCCACACAGATGACCCCCGCTGACGGGGGGCAGGCGGGCCCTCTGGCCAAGCGCGCTTGCCGCCCCAAAGGGGGCCAGAGGCGCGGACGCGTGCCTTATGACAAAGAACAGCGTGGACGCGCGCTCCACATACAATGCTGAAGTATACCGCTCTACAGCTTTGGTTATAGAAGATATATGTACCGCTTCCGCCGAATTACGCCGTTGAGGATATATGTGCGATCGCATCGCGCATCACGAAGTAATGACATCGATGGGAACACAACATCTCGGAGGTATATTGTCCGGAGGTTATGCACTGCTCTGGGTGTGGCCACACCCGCTGGCTGGCATGTTCGGCTGCCAAGCAAGCGAGCTGGGCCACACTATGATATGAGACGTAACCTCATGACTACAGCGCGCGCTCTCAGGATGCAACTAGTCTTGGTAGGACCGTCCGGATACTTTTAGAAGTTAGCTCAGATACACGAAGCTCGTCAACTCAGGGATACCCAGATGCGCCTATGTCATGTCGACGTCAAGTTTGATCGTGCCAACAAGAGGCCCAGTGGCGTCTATATTTGGATATTTACCTCGTGAACGAAAAACCAGCATTACTATGGATATGTACGTATATAGATATTCAAGAGCACGTACTGGGCTGCTACGGGCACGACCAGCAACATGCCGAATGGCGAAACAAGGCAATGACATTCCTGACAGCACAACTTGTGGACCAACGCCGTAAGGATACAAACAGAACACAAGCTTACCTACAAGTGTTCACTCGCGCCGATACGAGCGTACAGAACTACATACAGTCCAGCGACAGAGGACCACGTTGGGGCGACATAGTACGCTTGACTACATTTGACCTTGACAAAAAGAAGATGGTTGAAGATATTAAAGTCAAGGGCCAAACGAGCGGTAACAAGCGGGAAGCACCGTTACCCAACGGAGTCCGCAATAGATGTGCGAGACTGCATTGGGAAGTAGTTCCCCAAGCGTTGTTCGGACACGGGCATGCGCCGCCAAGCCGCGAGGAACGAGTCAGGTTTATCGAAAGTGGTCGTTCTCCTCCCCCCTCGATTGGGCTTGACGACGGGGGGCCTACCCGGAATTCCAGCTTTTCCGAATTGGCCCATACGCAATTGTGAATTGACTGGGACAGTGCACGCGTTGACCAACAGCCGCAAGCATTCAAGTACTTGCTCGAACAAGGGATCCGCAAGCTCGACCAACTCCCAGGTAGCAGAGAAACACATGTTGATACTGGTATAATATCGGTCTTAGGTCTTTTCTTGGGAGCCGAGGCGAGCTAGTTCTATGCATGCGTCAGTGGAGATCGGATATGCAAGGCTTGCACGAGGAGAGGATCTGCATTCGCCCGGGCTCTTATCAACGCCCCACAAATCATATGTCCTCTGTTACATATGGGCCACAGTTGACTTTGTCAACAGGAGGGGGACCGAAGATGACGATTGCCCTGCGCAGACGGCGCCACATTTCACCTTGTCGATATGTCCGAACTTCGAGCACGAGGTTCGGCGAGGCTTCTGACGAGGCATGAGGGGGTAGGTCATCCGTTGCGCACTTGGCGTTCTGTTGACCTGGCAGGAGCTGAGGTACCGAGAAAAAGGGGTTATCGCAGCATTGCTGTTGTTCATTCTGATGTGCAACAGGAGGAGAAGGCAGAGGAAGAGGGGGATGAGGTGGAGGCGGACGAGGATGAGGACCAGGAGGGGGCTCTGGCGGTCGCGAATCCTTTCCCTAGGGTGCATTTTTGAAGAAGTCTGTTCTCGGACCCTGAGAGGCCTCCGATGACGCTTTCGAGAGACATTGGCCCTGCACAACTCATCGATGCTGTTTATTATCTATCATGGAAATTCTGGGGGGGCTTGTCCAAGGGGGGTTGTCTGGGGAGCGTGTCCGGGTGTTTGCGGGGTTGTCCAAGGGGTTGTCCGGACCGCGTTTTCTTGTCAGCACGTGTACATGTTCTGCCATACTTGCCATCAAAAGCGCGGCGCAACCTGGGGAGCCCAGCTGGAAATGTCGCCTCTCTATCCCCCATCACCGCCTGTCTGTTCCTCGTCTCTCGTGGCCCCCCTTGCGCTCCCGTTCGCACGCCCCCCAAACAGTTGTGCTGACTGGGGTCCTGTTTCGTTAGAAGCTAGTTCTGGCCAAGGGCCAGCGCTC